ACTCTGCATCTGTAAATTGAAGATGCTGGGCTTCACAGTTGCAGAGAGGAAAGTGTTGGCAGGGCTGGGGGTGGGAATGGGGGTCGGGTGGGAGGGGCGGAGCCAGGGTTTGTTTTCAGGGCACATCTGGCCCTGGGTAGCTTGACAGGGAGCAAAGCATGTGACTCCCTCGCTGGGCAGGGGGAGGGGGTTTCTCCTGGGTGGGAAGCTGGCAGTTTCTGCCGTTCCGCCTTTTGCCCAGGTCTTCTGTGTCCTCTGTTCTTTTGCTCTCTCCGTGCCCCGCAGTGGGGATCCTCGCCTCCCCACCTGGCAGGAGGCTGGGGGCTGAGGAGCTGGACTCTGTCTGGCAGAGACCCTGCTCATTGCCCAAACTCCCTGGTTTCTCATAGCGACCAGGAGAGGAAGGTGATGTAGGGGTAATTCATACCATTTGACAGACAAAGGCCCTAAGGGGTGGGCAGGTCTTGTGGAGAATGAGGGGCACCTCCCAGATCTTCTCCTCCCTGTCTGGGCTTTTGCTGTGATCACACGGTTTCTGAGGGTTTCCAACACCAAAGGAGGATGGGGAGAGTAGAAGAAAGCGATGCAGGTCATCTGGGGTCAGAGGATCCAGGTTCTCATCAGGGTTGGGCCACCAACTGGCCACTGTCTGACCTCAGGCAAGTCTCGAGTCTCTGAGCCTTGGTTCCCCCTCTGAAACATGGCAGGGGTAGGGCTGTTTGTCTCATGGATGTAGTGGGAGGGTGTCACTGTGGGAAGCTGGGCACAGGAGCCCTCACAGAAGCAAACCACAATGTGTGACTGACCCCTGGCCCTCCCTCTCACTGGGGGAGGGAAAGTGGGGATGCGAATGCCGCGGAGCTGGCCCCAAAGGTTTCTGGGAGTGGGCTGAGTGGGAGCAGTCCCTGTGCGATGAAGAGAGAGTGGTGGTGATGGCCATAGGTGGGAGGATGGGGGCAAGTGTTAAACAGTGCCAGGGGAAGGTTAGCATATCTAGGTCTTTGGAAAGATTGGTGTCATGGGCCTGATGCAAGGGGTAAGGGAGGTATTGGACCGGCCGACTGCAGAAGGTGACCAGGCCCTCAGCTCCATGAGCTGGAGGTGAAGCCTTCGTGGCACAGGACAAGGAGATTCCCAGCCCTGAAGTCCAGTGGATCCAGCAGAAGCAAAGGGCCCGGGGTAGGAAGAAAGGCTTTCCTTATGGCACCAGAGGTTGTGCTTAAAAAGTGGTGTATCCAGGCTTTGGTCAAGGTTAAAATCAGTCTGAAGTCAAGGCCAGGGTTGTGGTGCCGGTGGGTGAGGCTCAGCCTGGCACCTAGTCTGGGCAGAGGCTGGGGCTCAGTGGGCGTAAAGTAGATGCAAAACTGTGTCCACACCAGAGGTCACCGGGGATGCGAATTAGCATGCAGGGAACAGTCACCGGAATTCGAAAAGCAAAATAAATAACCAAGACATTTATCCAAATGAGCCCTTTGTGGCCTCTGTGGGCCCTGTTAGGGGGCATGTTCTACAGTGAGGGGAAGTAGAGTGGAGACTCAGAGCTGAGCCACGGGCTCCCTGGTTTGCCTGAATGATTCCAAAAGGAGCTATCTCAGCTGCAGCTTCCCCGTGTGTGTGTGTGTGTTTTCTTGCTGCCACTCAAGGGACAAGCGCATTGTTGCCAGAGTGAAGATCTGAAGGCTGAGTGTTGAGAGCAGGGACAGAGGAGAGGCCCAGAGTGGGAGAGAAAGCATGTCTGAGAGGTAGGGGGTGGGGAGAAGCTGGAGAGACAGGGATGGGGCAGAGGGGCGGAGAGCACAAGAAAGCCAGGGAAAATATGAGAAAACAGAGGGAGGGAGAGCAAGAGAGACTCAGAGAGGATGGGAGAGACGGACACACACACACACACACGTGCACACTCAGACACCCCCAAGAGACAACCAGAGAGAGCTGAAAGAGACACAGTGACCCAGAGGAGAGAGAAAAGACCAGAGAGAGCAAGAAAGACCTGCAGGGGTGGAGGGATTCTGAGGGGCAGGAAAGAGAAAGAAGAGAAGAAAGAAAAAGAAAGAAAGAGAAACCCAGAGAGCAAGAGAGATTAAGAAAGAGACATATCCACCCCGAGAGAGGGGAGAGACAGAGACTGAGATAAGGAGAGAGCAAGAGCAGAGTAAGGGGGTGGGATGGAGGCCCAAGCAGAGAGAGGGACGGATGTGGCAGAGAGCGTCGAGAGCCTGAGCGAGACAGAGAAATACAGGACCGAGAGAGACAGAGCTCAGTGGAGAGGAATCTGGCGAGATCAGGGCCAGACAACAAGCATGAGAGGAACAGGGGGAAAATCTGAGAGGGAGATATATTTACTAGAAAGACAGACAAAACACCAAGAGGGAAAGATGGAGGAGGGTCCTACACATGACTAGGAAAGGAGGGAGAGGCAGAGGGCTGTGCAGAAGTAGGCATGCTCAGACCTTAGAGCCCTGGGAGGCCCCTTAGGGTTCTGATAGCCTCACCCCCAGGATAGGGCTTATGCATTGTAGAAAAACAAGAGCTAGGATGTATAAGCACCTGCTGCAAACCTGGCACTGGCTCAGGAGCCCCAGCTCGCTCGTTTGACCATGTTAGAGGTATTTACTGTTGTGTTTTCCACAAAAGTGGATTCCTACAGGATGGAGGTCATGTCTCACACTGCACACAGCAGGTGCTCAGGAATCCACTCACTGTGGAATGAATGTTAGAATGAACAAGTGGACCCCTGCATGCTCGGGTTACTGAGCCAGGAAACATAGGCACTCCCGGTGGGCTGCAGGTTGATCCTGACCACCCCACTCTGGAGCTGGGACAGAATGTCCCAGGGGCAGACAACAGCATCACCGGAACCGAGAGTGAGTGTTGGGGCATAAATAACACCACATGCTCTGGTGGCAGTGGTGGTAATGGTGGTGGTGGTGATGATGATACCATCATCTTCACGTGCTGTTATCACATGTGCTCTTGCTCTGTGCTAGTCACGCTTGTAAACGCTTTACCTTCATTTAATCCTCACAGCAGTCCTATGACGTAGGCGTTATTATGATATCATTTTATAGATGAGGAAACTGAGGCTCATAAACTAAAGTTGCTGTCCAAGCTCAGATAGCTCAGATGGTGCATCGGAGACTGAAAAGAATCAATCTAACACCAGAACTGAGCTCTTGACCCCTTTGCAATTCTTCTTCCCCAAGAGTAATACTACCTGATATTTGTTTACAGCATTTTGGCTTGTGTAGCTTTTTCAAATTTACTATATCATTTGTTCTCATGACAGCTTGCTAGAAAGACATGTAGAACCAGAGTTGTCATTGCCGTTTAAGAGATAAGAAAACAGGAATGGTTGAGGGACGTGTGCAAAGGCACAGGCTCCTATGTAGCAGAGTCTGGACTGGAACCTGGTCAGGGCTTTGTCCAGAGCACAGTGCTGCTTAGAGGTGTACGCTGGTGCCAAGATGGAACACACCAGGCTCAGGAAATTGTCGAGGTCTGTGTGGTGCCTGGCTGGAGTGTTGGGCAGCCAATACAGGATGTCCAGGGCAGGCCCTCAGGAAGGCAGGATTTAAGGACTCTTGAAATAGTATGTCTGGGTTTAAATCCTGGCTCTAGCCAGTGACCTTGGGCAAGTTACTGAACTACTCCATGCTTCAGTTTCCTTGTCTATAAAGTGGAGATAATAATAATTGTACCTTTTTAGTATTGTTATGAGAATTAAGTGAATTAATATTTGCAAAGTACTTGTAACAATCTCGATGTATAGCAAGGATTTGATATGTATTGTTAAATAAATCAAATAAAATAGGGCAGGAATAATAATAATAATAATGATATAATTCAGACCCCAGACAGAAATGGGGTCTGGATTACTGAGCGCTAGAGTTATTCAGAACTCTGGACAGCTCCCCAAGCTTGAGAGCCACCATATTGGTTCCATCTGCTCCGTAAAATTCTTTGGAAGTGAAATGTCTCATCCCTTTATTCTTGGTTATCATGAGCTTGAGGATTCTCCTCACCACCCTTTGATGTCTTTTCTATGAGGGAGGACACAAAAGCTCTTCACCAGGGAGGCCCATCTCTTCAAAGGGGGGGGAGGTGCATTCCTGTTGGTTTGTTCTTGAGGAAGTGTCCCTTTTTGGGATGAGGGACTGCACCAGATGTTTGTGGTTGATGGGTGGGACCCAGGAGCTTGTGTTCAGTGTGGTTAGGGACTATGGCCCCACCAATTGCTCCCAGAGTAATCACTAAGATCAGATGGGGAAAGGGCAGGAATAGACAGGTTTGTGGAGAGAAGCAGAGGGAGCATAGAGGCATTACTAGGTTCATAAGGTTGAGCTGTGGGCTAAGAGTCCCACACAGCTCAAGGCTTGCGTAGAGCCAGGGGGCTTCCACACCACAATCCAGAGCTGCTCCTGCCCCACTCAAATCCGAGTCTGTTCAAATACTGAGGGCAACTCACTTCTGATGTGAAGAAGCAGCCATAATGCCTCTTGTCTATGAGCACCTCTATGTACTGAGACCTTTCTTCCCATTATCTCATTTAATCCTCACAACAACTCTGTGAGTTAGACATTGCCAGTCCCATTCTATTGATGGGAAAACTGAGGATCAGAGAAGTCAAGTGACTTACCCAAAGAAAAACTGCTAGCAGGTGGCAAAGTTTTTCTTTTTCTTCTCAAACACACTTCCTCTCAAGAAATATCACTCTTAGTGCTAGGAATGGAGACTTCTTTGGGTTTTCAGCCTCTCTCATGAGTGTCCCTTCTTCCTTTCTTTCACTGTAACATGTGGAGGCCCAGCAGGATACAACAACAATGCCTTCTCACAACAAAAAAATTCCTGAGTGTCTCATATCTGTCTGTAACTACAAACACCTCCAAAAGTTGAAGTCCACCTCAACTCAAAGGAAGAAAAAAGTACTCTCAGATATAAACTCCTGTTAGGGCTAACTCTATACAGCCCTGCCTGCTCATGTCTACCTCTGCTTCTTCCCACAGAGGAGATGGCTGAAGGGAAGAATGCCATCCTCATTGGGATGAGCCAGTGGAATTCAAATGACCTGGTGGAGCAGATCGAGACCATGGGGAAACTGGAGGAACATCAAGGTGAGATTCTGCTTCTCTCATCTTTGGGGTGCATACACGTGTGTGTTGCAGGGTGGGTTGAAGTGCTGGCAATTTGGGGATAGAACTCAGGTCTTCTAAGAAGAGCCATCTATCTGTCTGGGTACCTCCTCTCCCTGAGTCTGTGACCCCTGAATTCTGTGACCTGCAGGAATCCTCATGGGGACTTGTGCAGGGTTTTGGTGGAACATCTCCTGGGTGCTTCAACAGAGCTTCCTTTGCCCATAGGATGAGCACCCCAGGAGCATGGGTAACTAAGGGCAGGTGGTGGGGTCCAAGCTCCTTGGACTGCCAGGCCTATGGTGTTGGAATCTGCTGGTTAAGGTAGGGTGGTGACTGGAGGCGCCTTTGAGAAGGGGCAGGGGAGAGGGGCAGCAGTGGGGCTTGTAACTTCCTTTGGCTGAGTTGTTGAAGAAGGAGTATGTGGCTGGGGATTAATCCAAGAGGCTTTTTGTGGAGGGGAGCTTTGACCAGGAGCTTAATCAGCAGACAAAGCAGTCATATCCTTTTAGGCATCCATCTGTCTGTCCAGTTGACCATTTTGCATCACTAACAGAATGACTGTTGAGCACCTACTGTGTATAAGTGCTTGGTAGGAGGGACCGAAGGGGATTCAGCTGAGGCCTCTGCCCTGTGATGTGTGACACGGTATAAGGAAAGAAGTAAGGAGGTCAGGCTTCAGCTGAGGGTTGTTGGGCCTGAAGGGAAGAGGCAGGACATTTAGAAGGAAGCAGGAGAGGGGATCAAGGAAGCGTTCCTGACAATGAAGCTTCGGAGCCAGGCTTTGAAAGGCAAATGGAGGATGTAGCTGAGAAAGTCATAAAATCTGAGATGACATATGGGGAAACTGAGGCTCAGAGAGGGGCTGCATTTGGTTAAAGTTATCCTGGAGTGGGGCCAGAACCCCATCCGGGATCCAGGGTGCTAACCTCTGTACCTGTTATCCTGAGGCCAGTTTTTTCTATCCCTCCTCCCCACCCCCTATATCACTCCTCCTACTTCTCATCTGCCTTATCTCCTCTTTTCCTTCCTCTCTTGGCCCTGTCATTCCTCAGTCATGGATGCGCCAGAGTTGCTGACTGGGCAGGGCTATCCTATCAGGAGGTGTTCAGTGAGATGGTCCTGGCCTAGCCCAAGAGAATGACTGTCTTGGTGCTGGCCATCTTGGTGGTGGCCCTCTTGCCCCTAGCATCTGCTCCTCTCCTCACCCCCTATCCCTGCCTCCTTGGTTCAGAGCCCTCCCCATGCCGAAGTGCCCATCCTGAGAAATGGACAGGCCTGGGATATTCCATTTTACAAATAAAGAACCCAAGGCTCAGAGAAGCTGCATCGTATCCAAGGCCCTCCAAGTTGCTGGCAGCATCATGCTCAGGTCCCTAGTCTCCTGATTCCCAGTCCAGGGCTTCACCTCCCACACTGGATCAAATTGGAGGCTAGGCACAGTTCTGAAGTCCTGCAAAGTCAGGTCCAAGAAACCCAGAGTCTTAAAGGAGAGCCCCCCTGGGCCACTGTCACATTCACAGGAAGGGCGGGCTCTGAGTCTGGTCTCCAAAGCCAGTTCAGAGCCCATTTGCCAGTCCTCATAGCCACGCATTTGCAGATGGCCCTTTGTCTGCTCTTTCCTTCACCCCAGGAACCCTGCAGGGGGCCCCAAAGGGGTCATGGATTCCAGGTCCTGCCTTGGACAGGGCTTGGTAGCCATGAAAGGACAAACCCAGACTTGTACTCACCACCCATCTGGTCATCCCCTTCCCACCCCCACTCCTACTTGTCTGCCAAAGAACGTGTGACTCAGACACTGAGTGAGCTAAGGCGGGATTGAGCAAGAGGCAGTGTGAGCTGGGAGGGCAGGGGAGAAGGAAGCAGAGGGAGATTGATGGGAGAGGCTGAAACTGCAGCTTAGGAGCCCAAGAGGTCTGGGTTTGAACCTTGGCCCTGCCACTCTGTGGCTTTGTGGTCAGAGAAAGTCACACCACCTCTCTGATTCTCAGTTTCTTCACCTGCAGAGTGGGGCTAGTACAAAAGTTGTGATGATTAAATGAACTAATACTTGCAAAGTGCATTTGATAACAGATAATTATAATTCTGGAAGAGGGAGAGAGGAGAGACAGATCTTGTACAAGTGATGCTAACAAATGCTTCGTGGTGCTCATGGAGGATGAATTAGGGGCAGTGCTTGCCTGAGTCTGGGAGTTGATGCTGTTTCCTCCCAGTATGGAAGGAGGAGCAGGAGGGAGAGAGGGAAGAGGGGACGAGGAAGAGGAAACCAGCTGTGTTTCCAGGTCCTTCTGAGGCCCGTTCCCCTGTGGATTACTAATGTGAATTCCCACAACATGACAGAACACACACATTAGTTTCATTCATTTCAACCATCATTTATGGAGCCACGACAGGGGCTCAAGCCTGCTGTAGATGTGGGGGAAACAAAGATGAGCAGGCTGGCCTTGTCACCCTTTTAGGAGCTCGCAGCAGAGAGGAAGAGATGATCCTAGTCACGGATACTACGAGCCTGAGGAGAGAGGCTCGGGGGACTATTTGGGGGAGAAGAAGTTCTGAAACCATTTTCTGGAAAAGGCTGCAATCAAAATTGGTGGTATAGAGGGGCCAGCCTTGTGGCATAGTGGTTAAGTTTGCGTGCTCCGCTTCAGTGGCCCAGGTTCAAATCCCGGGAGCGGACGGATGCACCACTCATCAAGCCATGCTGTGGTGGTGTCCCATGTACGAAATGGAGGAAGATGGGCACAGATGTTAGCTCAGAGCCAGTCTTCCTCAGCAAAAATAGAGCGGCCAATCCTCCTCATCAAAAAAAAAAAAAAAAAAATTAAAAATTGGTAGTTTAGATAGAGCTCTGCCTCCTTCAAGTTTCCTGTCCTTAAACACGAGGCTCACCCCAGAGACCCCCTCTCACAGGTCACACCTGAGCCAGTCACAGCTACCCTAAGTGATGACTCCCAAGTCCATCTCCAGCCGAGACCTCTCTCCTGGGCTCCAGACTCATATTTTCAGTAGCCTCTTGCTTACCTCTACCTGGATGTCTGGAAGACTCTTCATGCTCTACGAGTTCCAAATGGAGCCGACCTTCTTCCTCCTAAACCTTAATTATGTTTTAAATTCCATCTTTTTATCTCCTTAGCCATTGAAGGCATATGTGGCATAGGTTCTTTCAGACTGCTCTGTTATCTCCAGTTCCTGAAGGTGCTAATTCTGGGGTGTGTGTGTGTGTGTGTGTGTGTGTGAGTGAGTGTGTGTGCTAACTGCACCTCATAGGTTTTGTTTCTTCATTTATTTTTTGGGTGAGGAGCTCAGCCCTGTGCTAACATCTGCCAATCCTCCTCTTTTTTTTTTTCCTGAGGAAGACTGGTCCTGGGCTAACATCCATGCCCATCTTCCTCCACTTTATATGGGACGCCACCACAGCTTGGCTTGCCAAGTGGTGCATTGGTGCGCGCCCGGGATCCGAACCGGTGAAACCTGGGCTGCTGCAGCGTAGTGCTTGCACCTAACCGCTTGCACCACCAGGCCGGCCCCCTTGTTTCTTCATTTTTTATTGTGAACTCATCTTGGTCACTTCTCTCCCTTTTTCTCTCCTGTGGGAATCTTGTGGTCCGTAGGTTGTGAAAATGCCCTTTTAGAGACTGGTCTTGTGTTTCTGCTGGGCCTGAGTGTTTCACTAATCTTGGACATTTTATATGCTAAATTTACAGTTGAGTGTTTCCATTCTATATGAGTGGTGTAAATTTAGACCCCACACCCATATGTGGCACAGGGTTTTAATTACTCATGTGTGACTTTTTTCCTTCTCACTGTCTGTGAATGGTAGATTTGCTGCTTCCCCCGGGGAGTTTTTTTAAAGTTCCCTTGTGGGTGGAGCAGGCCTTCAAGGATCCCTGCTATACCGGGGGCTCCCTTTAGCTCCTTACCTTCCACAGGCTGAGGCCAAGTCTGTGCAGTTGACAATATGTTTTTCAGCCTCTAGGCTTGGAGACTCTCGCCACCTGAATCTTCCATGGGTCTCCTCTATGTCAGCTTCTGCTTTTGTCTCTGGATTGTAATCCCTTCATTGTTTCTGGCACTTGTGTATTATCCATTCTTTATTTTGAGCTTGGCTATATATCTACATTTTTTTGGTAATATATTGCCCAGTATATGTGTGTTTTAATGGAAAGGTATTTTTCAGCATCAGCTCAGTCCACCTTATTTTTTATTATTGTTATTTTACAATTGCTTGTCTTGTTATTTTTATTTAACATTTTTAATTTGGTAAAATACGCATAGTATAAAACTTACCATTCTAAGCATTTGCCAGTGTACAGTTCAGTGGCAATAGGTGCATTCACATTGTTGTGCAACCATCACCACCATCCATCTCCAGAACTTGTTCATCATCTAACTGAAACTCTATATGTATTAAACATGAACTCTCCATTCCCTCCTCCCCCAGCCCCTGGTAACCGCCATTCTACTTTCTGTCTCTATGAATTTGGCTACTCTAGGAATCTCATATAAGTGGAATCATGCAGTATTTGTCTTTTTATGTCTGGCTCCTTTCACTTAGCATAATGTCCTCAAGATTCATCCATGTTGTAGCATGTGTCAGAATTTCTTTTCTTTTTAAGGCTGAATGATATTCCATTGTATGTATATACCACATTTTGTTTATCCATTCGTCTATTGATTCGTCTATTGTTTCCACCTCTTAGCTATTGTGAATAATGTTGCTATGAACATCGGTGTACAAATATCCAGCTTATTTCTTGAATACATTCTCATTGTAAAAAAACAAAGAAGCAATACAAGGAAAACCAAGGTGTCCCTTATCTGCTTCCTCAGTTGCCCATCTCACTGCAGAATTTATCAGTGTGGAGGGTATCTCTGTAGAGACAGATCATATTAGATGTTATTGCTGCAACTTGTTTTTCATCCAGTGGTAGATCTTGGAGAGCTTTTCATGTGAGTATGTATAGATTCAACTCACTCTTTTT